TGTGTCGCAAAGAAACTGATCAATAAGACTGGGATGTTATGGAAGCGAATAAAAGGAGAACGAAACGGCAAAAGAAGAACCAAGAACAAAGCGATACTTCAGGGCGTCACATAAAACTGTCTGACATTGGCACACAAATGAAAGAAACCCATAAGCAACCTAGAAACCGGATCCTGAAACTTCAGGCCACAGTGGAAGTACAAACAGTGAACTGGTACAAGCAGCAGATAGAGAAGCAGAGGGAAAAAGACCAAGGCATGGAATTCCGCAACCTGACCGATCAACTTTCGAACATGCAGTAAGTGCGTTACGAAGTTGTTTTATATGCTTTATTTGGCTGAGCGATTAATACGTATGTTTTAAAACATTTATTTTCTTTTAAAACATATTCTCACATCAGGCATGACCCATTTGACCATATGTTTCCCTCACAGTCCAGTCAGCAATAACAAGCTAGAAGTCGATATGAGGAAAAAAAAAACACGAGACGGCGAACGAGGTTTAGAAATAGCTATCAATGAATCGTAATTTATGTTTCACTTATGACCAGGTACTACGCCACCCAGAGTTCCTGAGCCGACTGATTGCATAACTGAGAACGTTATCACCGTTCTGCCCTACAAAGTGTGGAGAGAATTGATCATTAAATTAGATCCCTTGCGCCAATTAGGAGGAGATTACAAAGATCTCGCCAGTGAAATTGGATATGACATGGAGAAAATCTTGTATTTCCAGTTGGGAAAGATCTAACAGAAGCTCAACTCAATGACTGCGCAAACTCAGTCTCAATTGACAAACTTTGTGACAAGCTGAAGGCGATTGGAAGATCTGATGCAAGGAAAGTGCTTGATGAATGGATCAAGTGACGAAACTGCAAATGTGTAACCTGCAACAGCCAGAGCTACTATACGCACGCCAACAAGTTTTTCTTTTAGGAGGGAGGGGGTTGGGGCTGGGAATGTTTAAAAAGAAAAAAAATTCCAGCGAGCAACTCGGAGTAGAGCTTTTAATTAAATAAACAAAAGGTTGTTTGGGCTGAAGATTTCAATTACTCGTCACCAATTTTTGTGAAAATTATTTCAGAAAATTTAGCTTTTCACTTATATCTTTAAGTAAGCGGTTTCGTTATTTCATTTTAATGATTCATGGTGACCATGACCCGAGTGCACCTCTTTAGTATACTTAACATTGTAACAGATAGGTTTACAAAGATAGGTTTACTGCTTGAAACTTGTTTGCATTGTTACCACTCAGTAGAGACCCGAGTTAAAAACCGGATTCTTACAGGTTTTGGGATCTTGTACAGTTCGACAATCTGATGAGGCACCAAAGAAGTGAATAAGTATGTAACCGAAGAATACTTCACAATGCAATTTTTTTTAGCCCAAGCTGGAACACCTTAGTATTAGGTTCGCACTCAAGAAATGTCGAATGCACCAAAAAAAGAGAAGAAAAATTTGTTTTTAGAACTTTTCACTACGAGAAACCCAAACATTTTGCAAGACATTGATACTAGCAGGTTTTGAATCACATTTCGCCGCGAGAACTTGGCTATAAGCTCTGATTCTGAAAACAAGATACATGATAGATTTGTGGTGAAAGAATAGGAAGAGAAAAATATTTTCTCATGAAACAACATCAGACATGACTCACTGTTTTGTCACATGTTTTTTCTACAGTAAACAAAAGAAGCCAGAAATTGAGACAAAAAACCCGAGACACCAATAAAGGATTAAAAATTACCATCAATTAATCTTATTTTACGTTTGACGCATGACCAGGTTCAACGCAAAGAAACTGATGGATCAAGTCACAAGATTGCTAGTGTGCAGCCTGCAATATTTCGATCTACCGCTTTTTTGTGTGGTATGGGGATACAGAAAATCCTAGAAAGAAAAGAACAATTCTCAAAAATTTATCCCATGGATAGCGAGTAGGCCAGAAATATATTTAATCATTGATTTATTCAACAAAGAAAAAAGTGTTTGAGCAGTAGATTTGACTAATAAGAGTTAAGAAAATGAAGCGTTGTTAATAGATAATCGATATATCCACCTTTTTCCCTTTTTTTCGAAAGACTAATTTATGTCACAATCATGAATATTAATCTATAATTGTAGTCGAGCAGAGGAATTGTTTTCACTCTGTTCGCCGTGGATTTGAAGAATAGAAGCTTGTACGTTGCTGGAGTTTGGTCAGCTTGCTATTACAGTGCTCTAATAACTGATCAAGCACCCAAGAAATACTTTTAAAATGCATCGTTACAGCTTATCAATTTTCGGCTCCCGGTTGCCCAGGCCTTACATTGGCTCCCCACAGAAGAATTGTTCTGAGTGTCGAATGTATAGTGTGGCCACTAAAACAGAGCCATAGCCTAATGAAGGTCATTTTTATGGTGCTGGGCTTAGGGAACAAATAAACCATTATATAACAGAGCGTTCCTTAAATCAACAACCTAGCCTACGCGAATGTACTTATAAAATGCTCGAGTTGTTGTGCAAGAAAGAGGAATGCCAACGCAACTTACAAGAGCCTTGCACAGACGTTATAACACAGAGCAGTTTGCATGCGCGAAGTTGCTGAGAAATTCTGCGTGGACCACTGAGAGAAAGAGATCGATATGTTCCAGTTGTTGAATGAAACAATGACCCTCAGTCTCTGAGAATATCAGAAAACACTCAAGACAAAAGGATTGCTAGAGCAGGTTCAGTTGAGCATTTGCGCATATCCACAAGGCGCTAAGGAAAAGTAGAGCGTTTGCCTTTATAACCAGCGTTAACATCTGTGATCTATTTGAAGAAAAAGAAACTGATCCTTGATCAGTTGAGTTTCGAACGGTTCGTTAGCGATTGCAAACACATTTAACGAAGTGGTGATATAGATCGTTTTTGCGATGAATCATCGGCTAGAGACTATATAACGGCCAACATTATCTTGTAAGAGATTATATTCTCTTGTGTCTTGATATTGCAAATCAATTGAGCGACTGCCGCCTTTCGAATAAAGTTACGATAAAGATTAATTTTGTGTGGCTATTAGCCAGAGTTTGGGAACTAAACAATGTTGTTCAGAAAACCCAAATGCTTGATAAACAGGCCGTTTTTTGGCTTTCTAAATCCATTTTGCAAGACGTTGATACTAGCCGGTTTTGACTCACATTTCGCCGCTAGAATTTGCATATAAATTTAATTCTGAAAACAAGATACATAATAAGTTTGTGGTGACTCCCAAATGTATTCCAGTCGTATTTAGGCGTTGCACATATATGTGCCGTACTGATCCGATTTAGCGCCCGGGACGCTTATTTCACTGCTGTTACCTCAGGGGAGGGGGCTTATTCGAAACAGGGCGTTTATGAGGGACAGGGCGCTTATTTCTCCTTTGAAAAACAGCAGAATGTGAAACAAACTTTTGATGTTTATCCAAAAGGAAAGAAAAGACTGGGAGACAGACTTGCTGTACCGGGATACTTCCTTGCTAAGATGTCTATCCAAGCAACCGTCGCAAAATTTTAAGACGGGATCTTCCATTGGAAGGAACTATGCCCTCGCGGCGACATAATAATTGAGAGACAGACGAAGTTCTCTTTTTTTTGTCGTGAGGTTTTAAGTGAGTGAATTAAAGGAAGATGGACCACGATTAATCTCAATGTTCATGTACCCTACTAGTCTTATTACTGAAACAGAATAGGGGCGTTTATTGGAAAAGAGGTGCGTATTGGAATGAGGTGCTCACTCGTTAGGGGGCGCTTATTAGAGTAGGTCGAATAGGGGCGGTTATTAACAAAAACCAAATTCGAGGGAGGCGTTTATTAGCGAGGGGGCACTTTATGGAAGGAGGGCGCTAAATTGAAGAGTTACGTTATATTTGTTTGTTTTGTGGTCACCGTTGTTGTTTTAATTGTTGCACGTTTTTTTGTTTTTTTTTTTCAATTGACTAACAATATTTGTTGAGACCAATCTCCAGCGCGAACCTCACGTCATGTACAAGAACGGTCCATTCGTTCGATTGATGCTGGCATGCATGACTGCGCTGTCTCCGAAGTAATGAGGATCGAATGCAATAATTGGTAAAAGTAAGGTAACATTATGAAAAGTTCTTTACGTAGCAATTTAACGATTATAGAAAAATAACTACAGCCCTTGTCTCTTGCACACAGCTTACAGCTAGAAGTAAGGCACAACGGTTCGAAGAAGCATTAACTTTCTTGTTGGTGCCTGTGGAGCTGCTTTTTCACAATGAAGCCACCGTTTCACCTCCGTTTTCAGGAACAACCTCGTTTCTGTTTTCATCTGCTCCCTTCTTAGGCTCACTCTGAACGGAATACAAACTCTCCATGGTTGGTTGATTGAGAGTTTCCGGTAAAGTCATACATCCAATAGCAGCTGCTATTGCCAGACCAGCCATTATCCCATAGGGAAGAAAACGATCAACGATCAACTGTTGAAAGAAGATAGATCAGGGTATATATTAAATTAAGGCTGTTACAGTCGAATCTCTCCACAGTGGACACCTAAGGGACAGAGGGAAAGGAGCTTTCAGTGATGGGTGACTGCCCAGGGGAAGGTGGGGATAATTACAAATATTTTATTTCATTTCTTTTTTGTTGTTGTTTAATACCGTCTTAGACCTGAAGGAAACAACAAGTTTGTCAGCACACGCGTCATTTGCCATTCTGTTAGTCTGTTGGTCCATCTGTCTGAACGATCGTAGTTTGTCAATCTGTCTGTTTACAATTTCTTGCCCCTTTGTATGAGCGTCTGTCTCCTTGTGTGTTTATTTCATTTGCAAAATTTGCTTGTCCCAAGTTTGGGGAGATTATTTGTTTTCTTTAACGAAAAACCTGAAGCAAACCACCCAAACTTATGATAGTAATAGGATGTAGGAAATATAAATTGATTATTTACCAAGAGCGGAGCATAAGCTGAGGCAAAAGCGCTTACGCGGGCGGAAGCTGTAGATGTACCCATTCCAACATTCCTAAAAGAAGAACAAAACAAATCTCATTATGCTGGTAAACTGTATAACTGAACGTGTTAATCTGATTTTATGAAAAGAGTCATTCATTCTTGATCAATTGAAAAGACTTACAGTAGGTCCAAGGCTAAAGTTAATAACTTTTCACTATTACCAATAGCAGGCCTATGCTCCTTGACTTCACGCGTTCGCAACTCCTTATCTAAAGGATCGTCTGGATGAATTCAGTTCTTATGATAGCTCAAAAATATTATTTTAAGCGTTCATCCAGAACGCAGCCACATAATCCAGACAGATTTTTGCCTCATTCACACAACTTCGCTTGGAAATACTTTTAAGGTAAAAACTGACCTACAAAATGATTCCAAAATTAAAGCCTTTTGAAAATGTGTCGTTTTCGAAACTTTCCGTCTCTGATGTGGAAAGGTGCGAACGGAGGCTTACGAAAATGGTGACGTAACGTAAAAAGCGTCATATCAGCGTTTTTTTGTCGGCTGTAATGTGGAGGACTGGGCACTAGAAAGACAAGGCATTAGAAAGTCTGTTTTTTTTTTCAGATGAAAGCGCACTAGCATGGGCAGCTGAAACAAACCGAGTATGCTTATAGTTGAGACGGACGATTACTTTTAAAATCGCATTAAAATGACGGACGCCCTTAAAAATATATCGAGAGATCCCATCTTTTACAGTATAAATATTTCAGTCTAGTCTACCTTACGGTTGTTGGAAACAACTCAACAGAGTAAATGTAAATCAATGAAAAGGCTATTTCATTGCTAAACCTTGCAACGAACATGGACATGAAGATTTTCCCAGCCATGTAACCTGGGTAAGGAAAAAATTTTAAATGATTAGCAATAACAAACATAACTCTTTATAAGTTTACGCTCAGATAAAAGCTTAGGAAGCCCATTCGAGGTTTTTTCAAGAGTCAAAAAAAAATGTTTTCTATGGTTAGAGTTCATGGCCGTACAATTCAGCCAATAGTCTAACTACTTACGAATTTTCCATCCGAAACGATGTGCGCATCTCAGTGCAGTGTCATGAACATTCGACTGGTCAGCTAAATGGCTAGTTAGTTTGGAGGGTTTAGAGACATTTCTAATTGCTAATTATTTACAAAATAGGTCCTATACGTAAATCAATTTGTGAGTGCTTCACCTTTATCGTTTTCAGCTTTGTCTGACAGTAGAAGTGTCCCGATTGCTCCGACAGCAGCTAATAGAAACGTTACTCCTATAGTCTTTCTGCGACCGAACCTGTTGAAATAACAGCAGGAAATTAGTAACATAATCGACAACTCAACAAGGATGTCGATGGTTAAACTTAATTTGATATCTATAAGCTGCTTCACTTAACCGCAATTTTGATTGAATCATCCTTTTCTAAAACTGGCAGCAGACTTAAATTTTTCTTGACTTATTAACATATTTTGCATGTAAACTAACCATTTTGTAACAATTATTGATATCTTGAAAATCAAAAACTTTTAAAAACATGAAAGAGACAGATAAGACGAAACAGATCTATAAAGTCTCTTGGATCCAATGGCAATACTTACTTCATCGTCAAAGCAGCACTTATTGGGTATGCTGGCA